GAACTAGTAATTTTAATTTCTCAAATACAGATCTATTCTGATCTTCCGAATGATACTTTGGAGTTGATTCATTTTCAGACAGGGAAAACTCTTTCTGCTATTGTTTCAAAAGTTAATGCTTCAGGTGATCTAATGGGAAGAGAGACTTATTGGAATTGACTTAGGAAACTCAAGCTTATGCCACGGGTGGAAAATTTCTGGTGGAGACTGTTTCATGAAGCTATCCCAACCTTTGGATTTCTTTTGAATAGGAGATTGAGAACGAACAATGCTTGTCCTATGGGCTTCCTAGAGGAGAAAAATATCAACCATGTTGTGGTAGGATGCTCCAAACGGATTCAAGCAATCCAAGCTATTAATAGATGGGGTTTCTTGTTGCCAGTTTTTGCTTCCTTAAAGGAATGTTGTACGCGGATGGAAAGAAGTGCTGCTAAGATTCCTCTACTTGTTAAACTTTATTGCATTGTGGTCTTCCATAATTGGAAATCGAGATGTAAATGTGTTTATGGATACAATAAAGACTCTTGCTTATATATAGCAGCTCAAACTATTTCTCTTTCTTCTTTTGTTGAAAATGGAGCTCTCAAATCATGCTACTATTGCACTAATTAGCCAAATAGGTTGTTGATGAGGAGTTGGCACCCCCCCCCCCCCCCCCTCCCCCCCCCCCCCCCGGTTGGCTCAAAGTAAACGTGGATGCTTCTTTGTTTCTTTCATATGAGGCTACTATTGTAGGAGTATTCAGGGTCTTTAAAAGAGTATTTCTTTTGGCTTTTGGATTTAAGGGACTGCATTGGGACGTCGCACAGTTGGAATTATTGGCTATTCAAGTGTTGAAGGCCATTTTGTAAGATTGGATGTTGGAATATGAAGGAGTTATTATTGAAGGTGACAATGCAAATGTCATTAACTTTCTTCTTAAATTTAATAAAGATCCGACCAAGATGTTGATTACAATTGGGGTGGAAGAGATGGATTTCCTCAAAGGATTCAAGCATGTTATTTTTAGTAGAGTGAGTAGAGATTGCAATAAGTTAGCTAATATTCAATGGTTCCTTCCCATAAAATATTAGCTAACTTATTGCAATAACTGATTGAGTGAGAGAAGCTCCAGGATTTTAATGAGAGAAAACTCTTTTTCTTTTTTCAAAAATTCCTTGTTTCCCGGTTGGCTACGTTATGGTGGCGGAGGGTCGCCGGTGAAGATGACCGGAATACCTCCAATCCCCTTTCTACCAAGATTCCTAACCCTCGTTGGGGATCAAAAGGTAGAAGCATCGTGGAACGGGATGATTCCAATTTCGCAAGGTTTAAACAACGGCCTTTGGTGATTGATGAAGGTCGCATTCCTCCAGCTCGCGATCCATCTCCGGTGGAAGGAAAGGGCAAAGGAATTGTAGCTGTTCATATCTCAAATGAGAAGAAGAAGATTGGTTCTCCTAAGGTTTCCCATTCTTCACCAATGGCGGGAATGGCGTCCGATGCTCAAGCTAATGACTACGAAGCATCTACATCATCAGGTTTTAATTTAAAGGTTAATCGTTTCTTGATCCCTTCTTCAATTCCGGAAAATCTTGTTATTTTTGCAGAAAATAAGGAAAGTTTGAATTCAAAAAAAGTGATTGAGAATTCTTATTCAGAAGCTACAAGTGGTTCTGAGTTTTTGACGGAAGATGCAGCTAACAAGAAGGTAGAATCGGGAAATGCGTGGGTGAGAACTCAGCATATAAGAATAAATTTTGTTGAGAATAATTCGGATGATTTAGAAGGTGATGGGGTTATTAAACTTAATGCTCATAGGGAATGTGAGAATTTTCAACGTCCACAAAAATCTCTTGTTGTTAAGGTATTTGGTAAAAAAATTCCTTTTTCTATTTATAGTATTGAGTTGAGAAGGCAATGGAGTAAATTTGGAAGCTTTCATCTAACCTCTTTGGGTCTTGATTGGATATTGTGCTCTTTCCATTCAACCCTAGCTATGGAGGAAGTTTTTAGTGGAGGACCTTGGTATGTGGGAAATCACGTTATTGGAATGGATCAATGGACGCCTCAATTTGCTCCTTTGTCATTGAAGGGTCTATCCTCTCCAATTTGGATTTGTTTGCCTCATTTACCTTTGCATTGTTGGAATGAGACCAATATTACTAAGATTGTGTCCAAGATAGGAACTCCTATGTTTTTAGATGGGAACTTGCTTAAATGGGGAGGCAGGAATTTGCTAGAGCCTGTGTTCGTATAGATCTTGACTCTACTTTATCTCATGGAGTTTGGATTGAAGGATTATATGGTAAATTTTTCCAGAAAGTGGAATACAAAAAGATCTCTTCTTTTTGTTTCAAGTGTGGTAAGATTGGCCATGTTGTGGGAGTGTGCCCTGATTTGAGGAACCAAGGGGATAACATTATAGAAGCAAAGAATAGGGATTGCCTAGAGAAGGGGGAGGCTACTAGTAAGGTTACAAATGCAGTGAAAGGAAAATATGATTTCTCTACTTCTGAGAACATATTTGGTCCTTGGATGCATGTGAAGTTTAAAAAGCTTAATAGGAAATTTGTCAATGGTGTCCAAAATGCTGATTCTGTGAAGCATAGGAATTATGAGAGACCTAAAGAGCTTCATGCGGCTGTGGAGTTGGATTCTACAAATAGTTTTAATGTTCTAAACCTTGACAAGTCGAGTGATTTGGTCAATGCTGTTGAGGTTCAGAATTCTACTGCTGTCCAAGAACCGGGTGTTAGAGCTTCTTGTATTGTTACAGGAAGTGATAGAGGGTCATCAGAAAAGGAGATTCCAGAAAATGTCATGCAAACTATTCTGGAAGATGGCAGCAGGTTTATAGCAGAAGGTGCTGAAGGAACATCGGTTAGTTCTGATTTTATAGTCGTGGAACTTACTAATCAAGGAAATCCAGCAGAAGGTGTCATGCAGGCGGTAGTGGAAGATGGCATCAGTTTGCAAGGGGAAAATGGTGAAGGTAACCTGGTTAATTCAGGTTTTGTAGACAAGGAAGTTAATAAGCAAGGGTCCGATCAGCTGGATCTTTTGAATCATTCTCCTGCTTGTGAAGTTTCTAAGTTTAGTTCAACTCCTTTTGTTAATGATAATATTAAGAAATTAAGCTTGCGTAGTGTTAAACAAAAAAACACTAAACAACTTAAATTCTTAGGTCCTATTGAAAGCTGCCCGAGGAAGAGGAGTTTTGAATTGAAGCTTGTTGGGGCAGAATTGTTTCCCGATTCAGCCGGATGATTGTTTGTGCAGATTGGTGTGGGAGAGGGGCTTCTAAGAGGGAAGCATCGGATTTTGCCAGTTCATTGGCTAGTTGTTTTATTAAACTTAGATCTACTACATCACTCCTGGTTGATTGCAGGTTTATTTCTGTTGGGTGTTTTCGGTTTCGTTGCTGCTGTGTTCTTCTTCAAAGGTGCTAAAGTCTATTCGAATCTGGAATTAGAGGGCTTTGGTGTGGATATGATGTTTGTTGGAGATGGTTCTTTGGGAGTTTTCTTGTTTGTAATTGTTTTTTTTTTTTTTGGGTTCTTCTTGTAGTTGATTTCTCTTATTTGGTTGTTTCTTTTTTAGTTGTTTTATGCCTTTGGGAATTTAAAATAATGTTATGTGGGGTTCTTACTAGTTCTTATTTTCTTCCTTTTGGAAACTCTGGGACACTAATCAACCTTTTAGGTTGTTTTAAAACTTGGTGTCCCCATCACGCCAAAGGGTTTAAAATGGGAATTAGTGGACAACATATCCATTATAATAGATTCAAAGGGCTAGTTTTTGCTTATGTTTTCTAGCTTGTAATAGTTTCTCTTTTTCAATGCTATATGCATTTCTTAAAAAAAAAAAATATAAGTTAGCTAATATGTGTACTAACATTGCTCATTGTAATAATTTTGTTTGGAATAGCTTTAGTTGGGTTCTATTCCTCTATTTATTAACTTGCTAAACGAGGAATGTGAACATTTTCTTAGTTTGTAATCACTTTTCCTTTTAATAATATTGCTTCTGCATCTTAAAAAAAAAACCAAAAAGAAGATTCAACCGTACATATCAAATATCTAAATATCATACATATAACAATATAAAAAAACTTTTTTTCAAATAAAAAAATTATTTCATATATCTAAAATTACATAATATTTCACCTTTTTATTGTCTAAAATAGACTACTTCATATTACATGCCTGATCAATATATTATAAAAGATCCATTTACAAAACATTAGAAAAGACGCCATAAAAAACAGCTAAAAAAATAGAAAATACGTTATAACATAGAAAACTGCCATCTAAGTGATTCATTAGGCTATTAGATACACCTTTCACTAGCTGTTCAACTTCTAGGCTAAGTCTGACAACCCCTCTGCTGCATCGATTTGACAATCCAGTTGTTGGCCGATTGCATCATATGAGATATTCACTACAGTGGTGGCCCTTCACCATTATTTACAGTAAAATTTAACTTGTATTTACATAATTCAATGAGCAAATTAACACACTAAGCATTTAAGAAGAAAAACATTACCAAATATTCACCTATGTTGCTCTTTAGCAGGAACTTAAAATGCATTTGCATTTTCCTTCAGCACTAGCATACTATAAAATACATTAGTAATAATTAATGGCTTGTTGTACTAATTTCAAATTTAAATTTTGATTTTATCTGCATGTCTTTCTAAAACAAGCATGGCAATAGTTTTCCGGATGTTGTTAAGTTTTCGATTGCCTAAACATTTCAATACTTAGAAACTTAATTTGCCTTGTACACCCTCGCTGCTACTACTGTAAAGGAGCAGGTAAAAGCTGGGTTAAATTATGCTAGATCTCACAGCTAAAAGAATTAATGTTGCAGAGACGAAGTTATAGCAGCAGAAAATAATCGATAGAACCCCTTTACTTCTATATATGTACAATTGGCACCACCTAACATTGTCAGAAAATATGTGACAGTCCAAAAGAGCAAAAACTGCATGGAATTAAATTATAAACCTCAGGAAATGAATGTTTCAACATCTTTATTGAAGCCTTTTTAAGTCACATTGAGTTAATAAGCAATAGTTACCTGAAAATATCTTAAGCCAAAATAGGAGTAGCCATACCATTAAAGCAGGTCTCTCTCAAACTCATATATTGAATCAGTCACAGCAAGCTCCTTCTTTATCCAGACAATTCTCGCTTGAATTTTGTCTTTAGTAGCTGAATCTGCAATAATGGTAGCGGAGCTTGATGAGATTGTGACCTTCCTTGCAGTGCCCAATTTCTCTACTGATGTGTTCTCCACCAACAAGCCCAGATCTTTGGTTTGAAATTCAGCACCTGGACGAAAAAAGGAGGAAGATAAGGTTCTGAGAGAGTGGCAAAAGAGCAAAATAGAAGGCAATGATTGATGAAGTCTGCCTTATTGTCTTTCTATGTTATCATGGGAGAAAATTTAACTACAATCCATGTCCAATTTTCCTCAACCAAACAAGAGGGTTAAACTTAATTTCAATTCAACTCTTTCCATTGCTTCAAACCCTATGCCTTAAATCAAAATTCATCTGTAGCTCCTAACTATCAACTTCTGTAAATCAAAAACATCAGAAGTTTCAAATAAAGTGCACAAAATATTTTGCAAAAAATATTTTGAACATTTAGCTCAATGAGTGCCTAATGAAACTGTTGTAGCCCATTTACAGTTCTACACACAAATCAGCTTTAAAAATCTTATTCTTCTCTCAAACTTCAGCGGCAAATTTTAAGATAGTAGATAAAAAGTCATTCAACAAATCCAATGGTAGACATGGTATCCATTATGTCAATTGGAATGTCATGTGTTTACCAATGATTTGGGGAGGAAGAGGGCTTCACTCTTGTTCAAGTATAGGACCCTTGAGAGCTAAATTGGCTTGGAGATACATGGTAGATAAGGAGTCACTGCTGCATAAAGCATTCTACCCGAAATATGGAAGTGTACTGGAAGATGGAGCTACTAGGAGGACGGGTTCTTCTGCTTGAAAGATCATTGCGGATGGAGGTAAATCTCTTAGGCCAATTGTTAGATGGAATGTTTTCAATGGAGTAGGCATTAATGTATTTAATGATACATGGATCTTGGACAAGAGTATAAACAAATGGCCAACGTTTGTAATTCCAAATTATGGTAGCATCTTTTCGGTTTCTAATTACATCAGTGATGGAAGATGGAATGTGGAAGCAATTAGAAATCATATGGGAAGTGATCTTGTTAACTTAATTTCTCAAATTAAGATTAACACTGAAACAATTGAAGACAACATTGAGTTGAAGCATCAGTTGAATGGAAAATCAATTTCTGCTATGATCATTGAAAATTCAGCTAGTCTTACTGGAAGCAAGCAGTATTGGAGCTGGATTAAAAAAGCCAAATTGAATCCAAGGGTAGAGACATTGTGGTGGAGGATTTTTAATGATGCTATTCCCACTAACAAATTTCTGGAGTATAGAAGACTGCAATGTTGCAATCAATGCCCGAGTAACTGTTTAGAAGAAGAAGACACAGATCATGTTGCGGCTAGGTGCTTGAAGCTGAAAGATGCTATTCTTCAAATTGGGAAGTGGGGATTTCAATTTCCTGTATTTGAATCCTTGATGGAGTGCAGCAATTGGATGTCAAAACAATGCTCTTTCATGATCAATTTATATTGTAATGTGGTGTTCTTTACTTGGAAATCTAGTAACAAGATGATTCACAATGGTAAAGAAGATAGCTCTTTGGTTATTGGTGCAAATGTTGTGAGCTATTCCTCATTCATGGCTCAAGGATCTAATAAATTCTCTGGCAAATGGGATGCTAATTAGTCGTCAAGGCTGTCCAATTTACATTGGTATCCCCCTCCACCCGATTGGCTAAAGGTCAATGTGGATGCAGCCTTACTACCTTCTTATGAAGCTGGAATTGGAGGGGTAGTACGTGATAGATTTTTCTTAGCTTTTGGTAAACCATATGTACACTAGGATATTTCTACTTTGGAGCTTCTTGCTACTCAATCAATCAAGGAGGTGATCAAGGATTGGATGTTCAAGTATAAGGGTATTATAATTGAAGGAGACAATGCTAATGTGATGAAGTTCTTGCAAAAGACAAAACAAAAGGGAACTTCAAGGTATGACAATATTCAATTATTTGTGGGTTTGATCAAATTGTTTTTAACTGTGTTGATAGGAGATGTAATAAGTTAGCGGATTTATGTGCTAACTATGGGATTATGAGTTTTTTTATTTGGGAAGATGTCATCAAGAATAAGGTTCCTCCTCTTTCTGTGACTATATTAAAGGAGGAATCTAGTGTAGAGAGTTCTTAGTTTGTTCCTTTTTCATTATTAATGCAATTTTATGCATTTTTCTTCCAAAAAAAAAAGGCTAGAATCTCAAGTGAGAAACTAATTGATAAAGGAGCATTCCTGTTGGGGTCAACTATCATAACTCTTTACAACTCTTCATAATTTTATAATTCTGGCACTTCTGATAAATAATTATTGTGGAAATTTAATGCTCATTATAAATAAAAACATGTTAATTTTAAATTAACTTGTTTTAAGCTAAACATTTTATACTAAACTTATTAAATTAATGTATCTAATTGCTTAATGGGTAGCAATTGAATAGACAAATTTTAAGAAATCGAGATCCATTCGTCAGCCAAATTGGCAGTTCTTATTGATTCTTACTTGTTTGCTGGAAGGGGCGGTTCTTAAGGTCAGCCTGACAAATAATATGACTGGTCCACGATCAAGTATTTCAAATTGGACAATACGGGTCCGGTTCTAAAATCACCAAAAATAATATTTATATTGTAGAGAAATAAGGAAAATAAATATTTCATGATATTATATCAAGGAATGGAACACGAATATAATAATTAATTGCATGCGCAAAGTCAATCAATATAAACTGACAAGAAGACAATACCATAAATAAATTTAATAAATTAACTATGCTATAAATCAACAACAACAACAACATCAAGCCTTTATCCCACTATGTGGGGTCGGCTACATGAATCCTTTTTCATAAAGGTTAAAAGGTTAAAAGTGACAAGTTGTCCGAAAATTAAAAAAAAGAAAGAAATGCCTATTCCTAAGTTGTTCCTCTGGAATGGGCTTGGGGCGAAAAGAAGGCCCGGCTCCAAGTTGTTCCCTGTTGGGCTGGTAGCCCTCCAAAATCCGCCTAGAGGGGCAATTAATGAGGAACCTTTAAGTATTCATTAACTATTGGTCTTCCCAAGTTCATTCGCGGGGGAAACCCTGGCTTATCTGTCAGTCGCGTCGGGTCAACAATGATTTGTCAGATATGATGAACTGCAAAATAATTTATCAACAGATGTCCAGTTCTCTATTTGTTACAAAACTATGGTAAAAAACAATAGTCCCATTTGAGGAACAAGTGAAAAAGCAAGCTGCCCACTTTTCACCGCTATGTGAGAAGCTACAAATGTATATCATTGGGAAAGATATAATCACTTACTCCCTAAATCAGTTAATCTTATTTAGTGCAATTGAAGACCCAAAAAAATTATAGAGGATCAAGTACATAAAAATAACTTAAGCAAGCTACTACCACATTAACCTGCAACAAGAAAGTCCATCAAAAGAATTACACCAAAACACAAAAACATGGACAATTAATGAAAACATAAACATTCAGCAACTTCCAATAACATCTTTTTTATATTGCTGAGCTCTACTAGGCCATTTTCATCTAACAATAAATCAGGAACTGCATGTTAACCAAACATTATCACAAGAAAATTAATATGTGATTTCCAACAGTATACAACATAATGAATAAAATTTCACAATAGTAGTGGCAAAGAAATCAAATATTTTATAATGAATTTGGTCCACTGGCAACAATAACAATACGAGAAATTGCACATTTCAAAAGATTAAGATGTTCTGTAGAAAGCACAAAAAGAAGTAAATAGATGTTAATCTGAGAATCAAAAATTAACTTATCTGACCTCAAGATCATTTTTTTAAATCTTCTACATCGACGCACATAGTTTACTATATATAGAGACAAAATCACCCAATCTCAGCTCAACGAATGATAGTGGAGAAACTTTATCAAATGATGGTTAATATGACAAAAAAAAACAGTGGTTGATGACTGTACAAGCAGATGTAGCACTAACAAATTTAAGGTAATACTGAAGAAAGTAACACTCAACAAGAAACTTTCAATAAAAAACATTAACAACAACAACAACAATATTAAGCCTTTGTCTCACTACAATAAAAAACATTAATAGGAAAAAAAATAAAGCCAACGGTATCTACAATGTATTTGAAATAATTATAAAGCTAGTTTTTTTGAAGAAAATTATAAAGCTAGTTGAAAGCATTAAATTACAAATGTTTTTTTTGGTGTGCTCTTACATACTGGCATGCCTATTCCTATACTTATTATTGAATGTGTATTCATTGTCAATGCTTATTTAAAGATTATTATCAATTAAGGTAGAAGATATGCATGTGACAAATTATTAGTCTCTTAACTATTATATTATTCATACACCTGCTTAGCTGGGATCTCAAGCTTTCGTTCTTATTGCGTCCAGGAATATTTAATGTGATAGAGAAATATAAAGTTTAACGACTTAGCTTTGTATAAAAAACCAGAAAAAAATCAGATAAAAGAGAGGGTGCAACATTCATACGAGGCACCAGAGTTTTTATGCGGAAACACCTAAAAATGGGAAAAACCACGAGGTCTTGCCAAGTTTCAATGAATCCACTAGTGTTTGCAGTCAATTACAAATGAGGGTCTTCCTTGGGAATTTTTATTGCCTCTGGTTACCTGACGTAGAGATACATCAGGTAACCTATAATATATCGCCACGTGCTCTTACTTTTTACCGCGCGGCCCGACGACCTAACCCGAAACGAATCCGGGATTACTATGTTCGCCTATTGCTTGGTATTGCTAGGTACTACTCGGTATTTGCTCGGTATTGCTAGGTACTATTCGGTATTTTCATCAACGACTTACAATAATTGAAAGAGCTCAGCGACAAGTTGAAAACCTGGAGTCTGCGATCATGTGAACTGGAAGCAACTTCCAAAGCAGATTTGATCGAGAGAAGACATGAAGAGAGGGATAAAGAGATTGAGGAGATGATGTGCAGAAGCAATGAGCAGAGATCCAGCACAATACATGTTCTCGAGTCTCTGTTGGCTACAGAGCGAGCTGCTCTTGCTGAGGCTAACAATCGAGCAGAAGCTCTATCGATTCAGCTTCAAGCAACTCAAAGCAAGCTTGATTCTCTGCAACAGGAGCAGACTTCTGTTCGGCTC